AAAATTTCAAAGTCTTAGCCATCTTTCATTAATTTTAACGAAGAGGTGCAGTGTGATTAAGTCTATTGGTACACCTTCAGAAATTTCAGTGTGTCCTTAACTCACCATAAAATAAAGAGCAAGTTCATGAAATATTGGCAGCCTTTGCTTAAACTGTTTTAGCTATTTTGGTGTAAATTAGAGGCTTGTAACTCTTTAAGCAGATACAGATTCTCCCTACCTTCCTACTGGAGCTTCATCTTTTGTTTTAAAAATGTGTCTGGAAGATTATAAAATGTACATTTATTCAGTTAGTTCATTAATAATTGATCCAAAATAAAACATACGTTTTTTGTTATATTTAATAACAGAATATATAGGAAGAAATGTTTATATTTATACTCATTGCGCCAAGCCAGTATCTGTCAGATCTTATTCAAAAAGCATGTTATTTATTTATTAAAAGCTATTGACCCACATAAATCTCTTGAGTCTTTTATGCTCTACTACATGTGGTCGTGTCCCTGGTGGTAGCATTGGCAGAGCACTACATCATTCTGTTCAGTTCCTATAACATTCAGGGCATATTTAGAAGTATGGAGCATAAAAGAAAAAAATTTGGAAGATATTGGGCCTAAAACAGACTGGTTAGAAGTAAGCGTAACCAAAGTCAGTGCCATTGTATCTGCTTATAGCAGAGGCGAATTGGGCTCACAGATACAAAACAAATGATTACATATGGCTAGCAGTTGCACTTTCTACTGTATTACTTAGGAGCGTGGAGAAAGAGAGAAAATGACATTTTATTGTCTTCTAGAGATGAATGATTGTTGCTATAATACAATTATTATATTAGATGTCAAATATTAAAATGAATATATCATAATGCTATATTTTAAGTCTGTTTTCTTCCTTCTAGGAATACCTACACTACTCTACTTACATACATACCTACAATAGTCTACTTTTTGTAGGCTCTTATACTGCCCTCATCAATGGAGTATCTGAGCACCTTCCCATAGTGCATTAAGCAGTGCAGACTAACATCTCTGTGTGTGGATCAGTCTTTCTTGTCTTCTACTGAAGGGAAAACATTTTGCCATATATGCTTCGATAATAAATGAACAATAAACATGAGATACAAACTTCCCATGAAGATAGTTACATTTAGCTTGTGACATTGCTTTTTTATTTTAAAATATGTGTTATTTGGTATGTACCGTAAATTAGCATATATAATCCGCGGGCAGGAGCGGCATGAGGCCGGCTGCGGCAGCTGGCGCCCCAGGCAGGCGGTGCAATTGGCACCCCTCCCCCCACATGGCCGTCAATGGCCATGACTTCATCATCAGGCGTCCAGGCCAGCGGCACTCTAGGCAACTGCTTAGTTCGCCTAGGCTCATGGGCCACCTCTGCCCGCGGGTCCCCGCCCCATGGGGTATACATGTCTGAGGGGTATATAAGTTTATTTTTATCTATTAGAATTGGATCGGGTCAGCTCCGCTGCGCTGCAGGGAGGTACGAGCTTCCAGCACACCTGCTCTGTGCTCTCCGTTGCCCCGCCCAGAGGTGGGTGGGTTGCACCTGGCTGTGGCTGCATAGGGCCTGAGCGCGAGTGCAGCTCCCCTCCTGTAGGCCAGCCAGCTTGCCTGCACTGCACTCTCCGTTCCCCTCTGGTATGTACAATTACCGTGAATTAGCCTATAGAACCCGCAGGTTATACATGTCCACGGGTAATCTAAGGTTTTTTTTACACAGCAAAGAAAAACCGCAGGTTATATATGAGTGCGGGTTACACTAGAGTGCGGGTTATATACACTAAAACATGGTATTTGCATTGTGCCTACACGCACCAGTCAGATTATGGTCCCCTTGAGCTATGTCCTGTATAAACACACATCAATAGTCAGTCCCCACAAAAAAAAAAGCAAGCAAAGTACCAGATTCTGCCATGAGCACTACTTGTATGCATCTCCATGGAGCTCATTGCAGGATCAGGGTCTCACCTGAGAAAGAGGCATACAATATTTTTACTGAAATATTATATATTGAGGATGAAGTGTTATTGACTGTTGAGTTAAGGTTCTTTCTCGTTGTTCCTTGTATTTTTAATGTTTGCCTTTTTTATTAACAGAGTTCAGCATACCTAGGTCTGTGCTAACATTTTGTGATAGAATATATATGAATATATAAAGCCTGTTTCAATTATCACTTATGGATCTCTATTATTGACTTTATGTAGGAGAAATTATAATCATGACATCACAAACCTATAAGTATATAAGAGGATGTAATAAAGTAGAGTTGACCTTGGAGTCACCTAAATCTATACAGCAGATTCTCTATCTCTAAAGGCATATCCCTTCCTCCAACATCTATCCTGAATCCACTACACGGGAAATTATGATAAAAATGAGTTTTAGATCTTCTGACACAAATAGAGCTTTCTGGCTGCTTGTCACTGGTGCCAGACCCATGTAAATAATTCCCAATAAATACAAGACTATGACCTTCCCCCCTCCCTTATTATAATTTCCATTTCACCAGATAAATAATACGTTAGGCCAAAAATTATTCCTTTGTACTTCTCTGTTTGGGGATTATTTCTTTTTTCAAGTGGTAGAAGGTATGTTGACTGCAAGAGCCTGAAATGGAAAATAATTCCTCAGAAATGATCTGAGAGCAAACCTTACACTTACGTATGGTGATTGTGACACAAACCAAGATAAGGAAATAATTCATTTCTAGCAGATATCCCTTAAATCATGCCATGATTACATATAAGAGTGCAAGTGAGAGTAAAAGACTTGTGGCACAATTCTTTGCTGACTTACACCTTTGGAAAAGCTGTGGAAATTAGTCAGGATGCCATGCTGCTGATCAGCACAAAATCTTATTCCTAATGACAGTTTTAACTTTCAATTTCCATATTGGTGACACCTCATTAACATTATTTAGATTCATTTTTTCCAACAGGGAATATCCTTGGCTAGCTATGCATGGAAGTAATGTCTATGGGCACGTATACACTACATGTATACGTACATACATTAGTTCGAACTAACTTTGATAGGCACTACACTAACGCTCCGTTAGTTCGAATTTAATTAGAACTAACGGAGCGCTTAGTTCGAACTAGGAAAACCTCATTTTACGAGGATTAAGCCTAGTTCGAATTAGCTAGTTCGAATTAAGGGGTGCTAGCCCTCCCCAGGTTTCCCTGGTGGCCACTCTGGCCAACAGCAGGGAAACTCTTCTGACCCCCTCCCGGCCCCGGACCCATTAAAGGGGCACGAGCTGGCTAAGGTGCCTGTGCCAGGTGCAAGCCTGCCAGCACCCAGCCAGCAGACCCTGCCCCTGGCACGGATTGAGCCACCCACCCGATGCCCCCCAGCCCTCACCCTCTTCCCGGGACCAGGCTGGCAGCTCCCGGGAGCTTGCCCAGGACCGCAAGAGGCGGGCACCCGCCTGGGCTA